GTCTTAGTCCATGTTGTGCTGCCATTACCCAAAACTGGGTAATTTACAAAAAACAGAAACGTATTTGCTTTGAGGCAGAAGGGCAAAAGGGGCGAACTCTGTGTCTCCCTATGGCAGAAGAGAAGAGTGCATCCAATCCCTGAAGCATTTTACAGGGCTCTAATCCCATCTCTGAAGTCTTCACCCTTATGACTTAATCACCTTCTAAAAGGCCTCACTTCTTAATATTATTCTACTGGTAATTAAGTGCATTAGGCCGTTCTTGCTTTGTTATGAAGAGAAGTACAACCAGGTACAGTGGCTCACGCCTGTAATCCCAGCACTTTGGGAGGCACGTGCCTGTAGTACTTGGGAGGCTGAGGCAGAAGGATCGCCTGTGCCCAGGAGATAGGGGCTACAGTGAGCTAAGATTGCGCCACTGCACTCCAGCCTGGGTGACAGACGGAGACCCTGTCTCAAAAAAAAAAAAAAAAAAAGGTTAAACTTACAAGTTTTGACAATATCGAGCATTGTGGGGATGTGGAGCAACTTGTATACATGCCAGGCATGAGTATAAAACATCACAAGTATGTCAGAAAACTGTGTGGCAGTTTTCCACCAATGCTAGCACACATACATTCTATTACCCAGTGAATCCTCTACTGTTCCCAACAGAAATGCATAAATACAGCCACAAAAGACATGGAACCACCACGCCCAGCACTTCCTTTTTTTTTTTTTTTTTTTTTAAGATGGGGGTCTCACTATATTGCCCAGGCTGGCCTTGAACTTCTGGGCTCAAGCAATCCTCCCTAAGTGCTGGGATTACAGGTGTCAGCCATGGTGCCCCACCAGGATATAAGGCATTTGTCAGATATATGTATTGTAAATATCGCACCCCAGTTTTTTTTTTTTTTTTTTTTTTTTTTTGGTAGAGAGGGTTTTGCGTGTTGTGCAGGGTGGTCTTGAACATCTGGGCTCCAGCGATCTGCCTTCCCCAATCTCCCATAGTGCTAAGATTACAGGTGAGAATCACTTTGCCCAGCCCCCAAACATTATTTTTATTTTGAAGACAGGGTCTCACACCACCATCCAGGCTGTAGTGCCATGGTGCAATCATGGCTCACTGCAGCCTCGACCTCCCAGACCCAAAAGATGCTCCTACCTTAGTCTCCCAAGTAGCTGGG